ACTCTTGCCACTTTATTCCTCGGGTTTCGTGGACAAGAACACAACGTTGTACCAGGAAGATGGGACACCGTGTCACACTGCTAGAAACACCCAAAAGTGACAGGAAGAAAATGGTATTCAGAAGTTGCCCTGGCCGAGCCAATCTCCTGACATGAACCCCATCGAAAACCTTTGGGCCATATTCGACCGACAAGTCAAGAAACAACAACAAAAAAACAACTTCGAAGAGCGATCTACTCCAAGCCCACTCTTGCTTCAAAATGAAAATACCACAATCTAAAATTGACGAGATGATTCTCACGATGCCCCAAAGGATCAACGAACTCCACGAAGCGAAAGGAAGATCTACTAGATATTAATTAAATTATAAATATATCAATTCATGTGAATATGACTGAAAAATGTCATTTTTTCTGAAAAGGTGGTGTCAATTTACTTGTGACCACGCTGTTTATATGGCATATCCCCTCTACTCTTATTTATTTTGGGTACCAAGGGGGTCTAAAACACGCCTGGAAAGTCACCCAGGCATGGTAAGCTTCTAGTAGCACGTTTGCTGTGTTGCTGAACTCGAATGAGGCATGGAAATATGTATGTTAGTGACCCCTTTTCTGGAGCGCCATTATTGAAACTATGTGCATATTCTCACTCACAAATTAGTGAGATCAAATATGGCACACATGTTCAGGCACCACGAGCGGGTAACAATACTGTTGTATATAAAAATAATTAGGTTAACTAGGGTTATGCTATTTAATCAACGTGTTTTAATTTTTTCTTTTATTACAAATAAAATAGGTAAAAAAATACGTGCGCAGAGTAAGGAAAACGACTGAAAAAGAATACAAATATAAAAAACGTTTTTAGCATCACACAGTTCCTAAAATTTTTCAAACATAAGCTTTTAGCCAACCTTTTAAAACTTTAAGGTCTGTGTACGTATCTTCCTGCCCTATCTTATGTTTGTGTACATTCTTGTTGTGTACTAGCACCAACAATTACATAACTTGAACATTCTACGAACTTTCGATTTATGATAACACTAATCCTAGTATGAACTACGATCCCAAGACAGTTTAACATAACATAATGTTTAGGGACAACAAAAGACCTATTGATCCATCTCGGCTGTCCCATCCTCTAAACTAAACTAAACTGGATATAGCACACGATCAGGATGTTACTAAATGCTATTTTTAGACGAGATGGATGTGAAACAAAGTATATAAAAATATAAGATATTTATAAAGGAAGTATGAGAAACTACAAAAGGCACAATGTTTTAAAACTACGAGATTCAGAGTATTTCAGCAGAATCTAATTGTTTAAGACGTTTAGATGAAGAAATGAGTGTGAAGTACATAAAATAGTTTTATAAAATATAGAGCAATTTTTCAAGTAACTTGGAAATCATAAAACAGACACGAATGAGATTGAAGCAGAATTATTCAGATCAAATACAAATTTAGAAATCTGTGACGTAACAAATTCAGCCTGAAAATGAAATCAACATAACGAAACTAAATGCAGTCTTATTAAAATTCAATAGTTTACTAATATTTGTAAAGATAAAAATGATAAAATAATTACAAATTACACGATGTAGATAATACCTACAACATCACTAGAAAGAATATTTTATTATTATTACTATTTTAATTTAGGTTAGTTATAAGAAAATGAAGGTAGATTTGAGCGAAATAAAAGAAAAATTAGTTATTATAATTTTTAAAGTCATGTAACCTGAGCAAATCACAACAATGTCCAAGAGAAGTAACCGATAGGATAAATTCTGGAATACTTAAAACAACAAACAATTCTCGCTTTTGAGAAACGTCGGCTTCTGAATTAACATTATAAGAACGACCTTGTCTTGCTCGCACGGAAGAGAGCGAAGTAGAAAACGTTCACGAGTTCTCTAACCTAATAGTGTCCCAGTCCACGAAGCATTGTTTTGTAATTTATACAATGTATTTTGAGGATGAAAAACAATATATTAGTCTTCGTTGTGAATTTAAGAGGGTTTCTTGTACAATGATAAAACACGGGTACTTACCCCAAGTCTGGCATCACTTGCTCTCCTATCTTCACGAGGCTGGGATTCGCCGCACGAAACAGCTCAATCCTCGAATCGTACCAGGCACGAGACAGCAGTATCCCACCCCTCCTAACGTTTTACTCTCCCCCTAGCTCCGCAGTCTTCTGCTCTGTCCACGTGCTCATTTTCACTGTACGCAAACTCCATCACGGAATAAAAGCAGACGATTCTACGTATTACTTATTATTCTTAATGGAGGAGCATTGAAAAACAATGAGAGAGAAGTTCCATAAACGTTATATATTGGTAATTTTATCATTAATATAACATATATATATAAGGAAGAAGATTTTTGTATTTCTTATTCAACTAAAATTTATGTATTTTACTAGTACTTGGTGGGAGTACAAATGAAATATAACAGGACAAGTACTGGGTTAACGACACATAGAAGTGGTAATGTCCTTTTACTGTTGATATAAGAGTATCAACATAGAGTAAAGTTTTAGTGGCATATGAATGTTCCAAAGTAAGCTTTATAGGTGCAATACGTTGTTTAAATATATATATAAGTTAAGTAGGTTAAGTTAGGATCAGGAACAGTATTTTCGTATATTCCTGGATAGAAAGTATACAGAAACAGTACTTAGAGGGAAATTTAAACTACATATCAATTGACATCGTGATTAGCTTCCTTAATGTTTATTTTTATTACTACTACTACATCGGTGTTTCATTAATCTCGAATTACTGCTGTAACATTTTCCTTATTATCATTTATTATAGAAATCCACACTACGTGCACTGATCTTGTGTGAAAAGTTCCTTATTATCATTTATTATAGAAATCCACACTACGTGCACTGATCTTGTGTGAAAAGTTCCTTATTATCATTTATTATTGAAATCCACACTACGTGCACTGGTCTTGTGTGAAAAGCATTATCTTTCATTGAAGTTTATTCGAAAATTTATCTCTTATTTTGAGATGTGCTAAATTAAAGATACTCAAGTACACGAAAGCCAAAACACTGATAAAAGGATTATTTTTTGTTTGTTTGTTTGTTTGTAGTCAAGCGCAAAACTACACAATGGGTTATCTGTGTTGTGCCCACCACAGATATCGAAACCAGGTTTTTATCGTTATAACAAGTTAAAAAACAACAGATAACCCCATATTTTACAATTATCATAGTTAGGATAATATTTAATATACAAAGTGAAATTAGCATAAAACTATTGTCTCTATCTTTGATGACATTTCGATTTCAAGTTAAAAGGTATTGAAACTTACAGTAGTATTGCTTTGCGTAAAGCATTCATGCTCAGCATTATGAATAATTCAAGCAAAGGTGGAAAGATCATTAAATTCTATGTTCCTGTAATTCTCTCTTTATTTCTGACTGTGTTATTACCTAGCTTTCAACAGGATTAGTTCATTAATTGCTGAAGTTATCATGTGTTCTACATTGCCGAATCGACATATGACTAGTGAGAAAACGCACAATTTAACTCTTTATGTATCTTTCGTTATTAGCATTTCTTTTAAAATCAACATAAAAATCGAATAAATATTTCATGCCTAGTGTTATCAGACTTGCACAAAATATGTATATTTCAAACTTAGAAACCAAAACGCAGTCGCAATTAGTTCATTAGTTTCCTAACCACGTATATTTTACTTTATTCCTATCACAGCCTTAGTTTTATAAACAATTTACAGAAGTAGCCATAGCTTGTTACTCGTTTTCAAACGCATTGTTTGTTTATAGCTGTTAATGTAAGATACCGAATTCTATTGTCATGTGGATTACCATTGTTGACAGGTTAAAGACATTGACACCCGAGATGACTGATCTGTTTCCTAATAAATACCCTTTGTAACACGCAATTATACCTAATGTAATGTTTACCGTATCAATATTTTCTACTGGAGTTTAATAAATAACTCAAAAGACAAGAAAATTCTATCAGATAGATGAGGTTTCCAATAATAATTTTCTTTCATTAACAGTAAAATATATTTTCTTTAAACACTGATTTACAGGCACACGATAAATAGAACGTTTAGTTTACTATAAAAGCTGCTTAATACATATCAGACTTAAACCCTGAAATCTTTATTTCTTAGTCTTTCTGTGAAAAAAAAATCTATATTTTTAGATCTAGATCTTAATTTTCTAAAGTTTGAGAAGCAATTTTGCTAGCTATAAAACTTTATTCTAGTAAAATCCAAAACAGATTGTGAGCCTAGAAAAATTATTATTTGTCGTTCAGTTTACCGAACTTACGGGAATGTAGTCGAATGTTAACGTCACACGTTTATCATCATATCATTCTCAAGACACTTCAAATATTGAAACACTTTATACTTTGATCACTGACAACTTGGGGTATGATGGTGGGTAAAACAAAGTATTTTCTAATCCTAGAGCGAAAATACTCAATATGCTTATCTCATTTTAGACTATTGCCTGTTATAATACAAAAATATTTATGTTTAGCTACTACACTTAAATTAGAACAGTTACAATCTATTTTAGTACAATACTCAAAATGTATACTTATTTCTTATTATTCGATTGTCGAATTACTTTACATGAAAAAGTTATATAATTCATTTTGTCTATATTCAAAATTAAAAGATTATTATCCAAACAGTGCTTAACTATGGTCAATCCCTGAGGTGCTTTTTCAAATACAGCTTTCTAAGTATTATATTTTAAAATCAAGACAGTACTATCCCTGAACGAAACTAATTATTCATGATAAATTACGGACACCATTTTGTTAACAAAGAATAAAATATAATCAATACGTTTTTAATCAGAAAGTTCACTATTAATTGTTGTTGGTAAGCGAACTAATAATCAGTTTAAATCCAACATTCCAACTGCCGGTATTTTTCAATTTAAGCAATGATAATCTATGAGGAATAATATCAAAGATCTTAGACAAATCAAAACATACACCCATGATTTTAAGATTACTATCACATCCTTCATGGGTAGTATTTATTTATTTCCATACCAGTACTAAGTTTTTACCTTAAACCTAACTGATTACAAGATAGAGTACTACAACTTTGTAAATAATTAATCAGTCTTTTCTAGTACATTTTTCAAGTATTTTTGAAAAACCAGGCATCAACAAAATTGGTCGATAGCAATTAATATGCAATTTACTATCAATTATATAAATCGAAATGGCAATTCCGTCTTTTAATTTAAATGTAAATACCTATTATAAAACTTTAAATACTTTGAGTACATTTGAAGATATTAAATCAACTCCCCATGCAGTAAGACTACGTATAATATGTTCGATTTCTAAATTAGTAGCATGCAAGAAGAACCTGTATTATTAATATATTCATTTTTATTTACTTGATATGAAGATATCATTGTGTTATTCTGTTTTAAAACTTTACAAGCCATGTTTTTACCTACTGATGCAAAATAGTTGTTAAACTCCTTTAAAATTTATCTATAAGAATTACCTGGAAATAATTTCCCATTACTTGCAATAATATCATTTGGAATTTATCTATAAGAATTACGTGGAATTAAGTTACCATTACTTGCAATAATATAATTTGGAATTTATCTATAAGACTTACGTGAAATTAAGTTCCCATTACTTGCAATAATATCATTTGGAATTTATCTATAAGAATTACGTGGAATTAAGTTACCATTACTTGCAATAATATCATTTGGAATTTATCTATAAGAATTACGTGGAATTAAGTTCCCATTACTTGCAATAATATCATTTGGAATTTATCTATAAGAATTACGTGGAATTAAGTTCCCATTACTTGCAATAATATCGCCAACTTCAGAGGTAGTTACTTTAGTATTTGTAATTTTACTATTAAAAGCTCACACTTTCTTACAGAAATATTTACATAAGTCTAGCTTCCACTTAAAGTACTAATCTTTTTTATTATTATCAAAATATTTAACACATTTCTATATATTCTATATTCATTCTTGATTAATTTAGCGCAAAACTACAAAACCATTTTGTCATAACACTCTTGATACGTTGTAACAAAAAGATAATTCACTTTTGCAATGAAAACGTTCTTCATATTCTTTAGAACTTTTAGTACATCCTTTTTAATGTTATCTTTAACTAGAATAACTTTATACCACATTCTATAAACAATTATGGATTATATCTGGCTCAAGATTTCTTCATTTTGAAGGTACAAAATTAATATATTTCTTATTTTAATGAGCCACCATTATCAGTTATATCCAAAAAAATATTCTGATAGATTCAATTTCCTGATGTTTATATTCTTTCCTTTATTAATTGCAATAAAGGTAAATCCTACCTTTAACAGATTAATTTCCTCTTCTGACAAAGGTTTTGAACTTAACACTTTCAAGGACATTACTGGGGAAAATAAATGTTTATTTTCTTCCTTTAATTTTTCAATCCTTATTTTGCAGACTTTTTCATTCTATTAACTAATTGCTAATTATTTTCCTGCCTTTTTCTTCTGTATTTATTTTCTTTCCTTGTATTAAGTTCCCGTCTTCTTTTATTTCTCTTACCTTTCTTATATTTTTACTTATTTTATTTACTAATACCTTTTGGGTTTTCTGAATATTTAAAACTTTGTACTTTTCTCTTTCTGGAATCCTTTTTAAATCCATTTGTTCAAGGAACCATATTTATTTTTTTCCCAAATCTTCTAACTAATTTAGTATTCTTCTGTATAAAAAAAAACCTCTAATATTTTACTTATAGATTCACATTTTGGGTTTTCTGAATATTTAAAACTTTGTACTTTTCTCTTTCTGAATCCTTTTTAAATCCATTTGTTCAAGGTACCATATTTATTTTTTTCCCAAATCTTCTAACTAATTTAGTATTCTTCTGTATAAAAAAAAACCTCTAATATTTTATTATAGATTCACATAGATAGTAATTATTCGTTAAATGTCTTTACAGTTATGTTATTAAAGCTTTTTATTGTGTACGTAATTGCTTAATCGTCTGCTCTCAATTGTAGAGCTTTACT